GAATCAGGGGCCTGGCTGCTGCTGGGCCACCTGCTCATCGGCGCGTTTCTTTGAAGGCGGGGGGCCTGCCATGCCCCGTGGCGCGTTCGAGAACAAGCCAAATATTGAGGAGATGTCGGGCTTCCTTGGCTAGTTGATGCTTCGCTGCGCGCGGATGACTCCCGCCGGTGGTAGAGCCCGTCGCGGACGGCGCCCCTTGGGCATTAAGTTTTGAGGAGTTCTTGAAGATGGCCAGGAGGGCGCAATATTCGACGTTCGACATGGGCGCCCCCCCCCCCCCTGCATGGCGATTGGCGGAGTGGAGGAGAAAGCGTTCTGGTTGCCCTGCCCGCAGGAGAGGGCCCCGATGAGGAGCGAGTGGGGGGCCGGGGGGCGGCTCGCATGCACTCATCCGCTTGCTTCGTCTAACGCGGACAACACGCTCATCTCTCGCGCGATTGCATATCCTGTCTTGCTCTCGGCGAACCTCGCAGTCGACGGGGCCCAGGAGGTCCCTTTGGCGGTAAGGAACGCGATGGGCCGCCCAATATCTCTGAACTCTCACGTGATCTTCTGGTCAGGCATCCAGAACTGAATTCATTTAGGAGCTACATCTACGACGTCAGGGCAGCATTCCCATCGTTGCGCGCCAGGCATTATTCCTGTCTGGAGAACATGCATCCCCCGCGCGCCGTGCTTCGCGCCGTCGGGCAGCCGCGCGGGAATGCGAGGGCGCCTGCGAACTTTCGCGGGAGCCCGCGCGCTTTCTTGCGATCTTCCGAGGGATCCAACAGGGGAGCTCGCTCAACGAGGTCTGGGTTCTCTCATGGTTGGCCCGATGTTCGGCGCTCGGCTCGTCTCCTTCCTCTGTTCGGTCCGGGCCTGGGAGCTCCCTCTTATGGGTTTGTTGATTTGCTGGCCCTGATGTCCCCGGGCCTCTTCCGGACCCCCCCGATGGCCCCGTCAGAAACCTGCTGTTCCTCGGGGGGCTCGTCGGGCCCATTATCCATCTCGATCAATCAGATTGGGCGTTCCCGAATCGCCTGCCTATTATGTTTAATCAGTGGTAATTTTGAACAGCGCGGCCTGGCTGTCCAGAAGACTCCGGAACGCGAAAGACGCCAAGTACTCGGACCATGCTTGGGTGTGACGCTAATGGGGCTTGCTGGAAGAACCCTTTTCCGCGGCGCTCGTGGAACGCGCAAGGCAAGTCGGTGACATGCCTTCCCTCCTCGTTCGAAATCCTCACCTGCAACACATCTGTCTTCCCTGTCTTCTCCTTCGTCTCCCAGGTGCAGGACCGCGCTCCTCATATGGTGAAGGCGCAGCGTGATGCAACCCAGTTGTTGGCGACGGACCCAGCTGATGCCGTGCTGCGCGACCAACTGTTTCAACTCAAGGAACCGAGATCTCCCCATGAATGCAATGACATCAGGACGTAGGGTGGAGCGGCGGCGTATCGGATGGCCATGAAGAGCTCTGCCCCCTGGCATTGGCAGGATTAGCCTGAGGAGCCGAGAGTGGCGATGCCGTTCTTGCGCGCCGAACCCAGCCTCAAGTAATTCGAGGAAGCGGTGGTCCGCATCCAAAAGGCTTCCGAAGGCCCATTTGGCCCAGGAGTCCCCTAACACCCAGGCTCTGGTCAGGAGTGCTCTCCAGGCTGTTGAGCCCGCCCCTCCCCTGAGTAATCTTGTGGCTCCCCACTTTTCGAAGTGGATTCCACGATGCATCGGTCGTGGGCACGTGGATTCCACGATGCATCGGTGGTTTCGTCGTGGATGCCACGACGATTCCTGAGCCTCATGATCGTGCAAGTGGATCCCCACTTGCACGATCATGAGGCTCAGGATCGTCTGCAAGCACCTGCCCCCGTTCGTGCTTGCTGCCGTGCTCAAAACATGGTGTTATGCGTGGAGTACTCCCTAGGGGTATATAGTGAACGCGGGCGTCAACGTCTCAATATACCAAAGGTTGTGATGGCCTCCCTCCCTGTTATTCCAAGGTCCTGGGGTTCGTGCGTGTTTTAGCATCAGTTTATTCCCCTTTTCCCGGACATGACCCCACCAGCTGAACGATGTAGTACAGCCATAGCTGTTGAAACCATGTATCGCGTATCCAACACCCTGGGAGTCGGTAGAAGGCGTATTTTTTCAATGTGGCATCTGATTGAGGCCAAGGCCTGTGCAATCGCACGGCAGTCTGGCTACGCCACGCTGTTCTTCCGTGGACAGTCGTTGGATTTCCCTCTTCCTTCCTCCTGATGCAACGTGGTTCCTCCTCCTCCTCCTCTTCCTCCTCTTGTGTCTCCTCCTCCTCCTCCTCCTCCTCCTCTTATGCTTCCTCCTCCTCCTCCTCCTTCTCCTCCTCCTCCTCCCCCTCCCAGTGAGCTCGAAATTGATACGGAAAGAATGGGTACGATGACCGACGGCAGCTCCTGTTCATTCTGAACAGGACTCGCGGTCGGTGCAGCCGTGGGCGTGGTCAATTTGAAACAAAAGGCCGCTTGACAAACAGCGGCTACATTCGATTTTGACAACAGCTATTGTTGGGCATCGTGCCAATGTATTTCCAGAACCCACTTCGGACGTTCAAAGACTCCCTTCGCAGCTGGGGGCAGGGCATCAGAAACCCGTTATCGCCCTGGGGATAGGGGTCTGGCATTCCGCAGCAGGGTTTCTACACGGCTCTTACAACGCCTAGTAGGTTCGGTACAGGGCCCCCACACAACGTGGCAGGTTTGATACAGGGTTCTTACACACCTTGGTAGGCTCAGCGCCAGGATCTTAGAGTTAGCTTATGGTAGGCTCAGGCAGCAGTCTAACTGCAGAGCCGCTCCGATGTCTCGAAACGCCGGAGCTCTGGGCCCCTCTGGTGTTGTAGGAGGGGGGGCCGCCCGTCGTTCGTGGAGCCTTGGGATCGCTTTTGAAGATGGAGTATATATGGGAGTCCAGTCGTGATTGCTGACGATGCTGCATTTTTCCGTCACATCGGATTCGAGGCAAGGTGTGCTCCGAGTCGTTCATGCATCGTGGCGGGTCGGATCGCCTGGGGGCGATGAGGATGAGCCTGTCCCGCAATGAGCGCGGGGGGGGGGGGAATCGCGTTGGTGAGAATTTCGGCGCGCGGTGGGATGGTGCAACGGGCTTTCGGGCGGAGTCGCTTGAACACGCGTCCGACGAGATGATCTTGGCAATCTCGGCAGAACAAGCAGCGACGCCACCACCACCACCATGCAGGGGGGCCGCCTTCGGCGAGGGTAGCCACGATGCCTCCCCGACCTGGAGGTGGGGGGTGTTTCGAGCTGGGGGGGGGGGACCACACCACCAGGAGGGCCCTCCCGATGCCCCGCGCTGGTGGTGGCAGTGTCCCTGCAGCCCCGCGGCCTCGTGGGGCCGCCCGCGGCTGGGCCGGCAGCAGTGGACTGGGGCCGAGACGCTGCCCCCGGGTGGGGGGGACCGAGGCCTCTTGGGCCGCGGATGGAATATCGAAGATCGGTACGATCGACAGGGATGTTGAAAGGATGCGGGCAATGTCTATATCCACATCCAGTGCGTCTTGGAGTTTCGGACTCTCTTCCCAAGAAACATGAGGCGCACTGGATATGGATTATTATCTGCCTCCAAAAGGCTCAATGTTTGTCCATATCCAGTGCGCCTCGGCCTTGCGGCGCCCCTTCCAAGAAAGTCCAAGACGCACTGGATATGGATATAAATATTGCCCGCAAAGGAGAGCTACGAAGACCGGCAGGAATTCCTGCCCACCTCGAGTCGGGCTCGCTGTCGGTGTCGCCGCGGACGATGTCCATTTGGGGCAGGAGGCCGCCTGCCCAGCAGCGGCCGCAATCGGTTTTGGACCAAGGTTGTTGTTGGGCGTGGTGCCCATGGTTTCCATCAGGGCTGGACCTAAACAATGTTTTTGGTGATTTCGTGGGCCGTTCTCGTTTCGACTTCGTTTTGCGGTAAAGGCGGATTCGAGACAAAAGCGAGGAAAAACGAAAACACAACGAAAACGAAAAACACTGTTTAGGTTCATCCTTGATTTCCATACCCAGCTCGGGTGCCCAGGCTTCTGGGCCGCGGATGGTCTGCGCACTTTTCCAGGGGCGCCGACAGGGGGGGACCGGCTCGGGGGGGAAGCAGTTACCCCAGTCGCCCGCTCCGTGCCGCTGGGGGCCTGGGGGCCCTAACCTGCCCGAGGCCCGGGAACGTGGGTGTTCCTCATCGGGGGGGGCGGAAAAGAGGGGGGTGATGACTAGGGGGGGGGTGATATCATGGCGGGGGCCATGATATTTCCCCAGATCTCATGGCGCCTCTTCTGATTTCATTACGTCCCTGGCCGCCCCCGCTGGGCCGCGCACATACATGCCGCCGTTCATGATTTGCACCCCCCCCTATTGGACACCCCCCTCTTGGCCGCTCCCGACCATCGGGGGCCCATCGCCGATTTATTGCGGATCCCAGGTCATTGTTCTTTCCCTGAGCCAGTGCGCCCCCCTTGCGGCTGCCGCCATCTCTAGGTTTCCAGATCCCAATCTGATCGAAACGCTTTCCTACATTCAAGGGTCGAGTGTCCTTCCTTCCGTACTTTCCAGGGGGCGGGCCAGAACCGATTCTACGTTCACGCCTTCCTGTTTCATGTGGATACTACGCACTTTTCCCGAAAGACGGACAGCTGAAGAACAAACAACAATATAAACATCTAGCTTCGGATGTACATGTATATATATATATATATATATAAAAAAGTAGAGATGTTACTGGGTCGGCGTTGACTCTCCCTGGGGATGGGGTCCAACGCCCACCCCAGGAGATCCGCGCGGATGCCCGAACGTTGGATTCGTGTTTGGATGTTGTGCCTGTCATAGCGATGCCGATGCCCTTCCCTCGCTCTTGCCCTTTCGGGGCCACGTGTGGGCTATGGGGGCCTTCTTCGCCTCGGCTGGATCCGCCCAGGAGTCCTGGCCAGAACGCACGCCTTGAGAGGTCCAGGGAGGCGGCGGATCTTTGTTGTTCCCACGGCAGGAGAGGCATGGCCGCGCGAAGCACACATGGAGTTGCGAAGATGTTCGTCATCTGCTGCAGGCGTCGAGAGGCAGGCGACTGCTGCAGCAGAACGACACCAACTATGTTGCCGAGCAGATAATATTCGACTGCTTGACTCGTTGGAAGGACTTGGCCAGTCCGAGTGAATACAGTTTGCGGAAAACCATTGTGTCGTTTTTCTAATTTGGCACGCGCGATAAGGAAGGATATTCATCCCCCTTTACCCCTGATAATTGAATGCGCGGCTTGTGTGGCAAATACTGATTTCTAACACCTTATTTAATCGCTTCGCTCATTCCGCCGGCCCGTATTGTGCCCTCGCTGGCGTCTGGGCTTTTGGAGGCCTTTTGGGGTCCTCGTTGGGGGTTTCTTGGGGGCCTCTTGGGTTTCTGTTGGAGCCTCTTTGGGGATTCTTGGAGCTCCTTTGGGAGCATTTGGGAGCATCTTGGGGCTTCTGGGAGCCGCTTGGGAGCCGCTTGGGAGCTTCTTGGGGGCCTCGTGAGGGCCTTTTGGGGGCCTCCTGGGGCTTCAAAGGGGCCTCTTGGCGCCTCCTGGGGGCTTCTTAGGGCCGAGGGCTCGAAATGTTGTTTCGTGCTCCCCCTCTGGGGCTTTGCTTAGAGTGTTCTTGGGGCCCTCTTGGGCCGTCTTGGAAGCCTCTTGGGCCGTCTTGGAACCCTCTTGGGCCGTCTTGGGGCCCTGTCGGAGGCCTTTCGGGCCTCTTAGGGCGATCATGGGGGACTCTTGGGCCGTCTTGGGGCGTCGCGATGCCGAAAAGGCGGAAACGCCAAAATCTCCTAAAACCGAAGGACAAACAATGAATTTTGCTTCTTGGGGCCCTCTTGGGAGTCTCTTGGGCTCCTTGGCGGCGTCTTGGGTGCCCCCAGGGCCTCTTGGGGGGCTCTTGGAGGCCTCTTAAGGCGGGAGGGGGGGTAGTCGATTGCGGCCCCCCCCTCGGAGGCCACGATCCTCGTGAGGGGTGTCGAAAAATGGCCCTCCCCTGGAGTGCTCTGGTGGCTCCTCCCAGGACCTTGGCGGGGTACTTTTCGTCCGGGGACCCCCAGGGGCCGCGCCGCGCGCGCGAACTAGAAACATTGTGAACCAGTTACTGGAGATCTTAGCACGCCTCTGGCCCGTTGGGCCGGCGAATTAACGGGTGCGGCTTTTGAAATTGGGTGAGGGGGTGATTATACGGATGATAGGGATGTTCAGCGTTTAAGTGTTTGTTTGAGGGTCGTTGCATCGTTGTTAAGGTGAATGCCATGTCTAGGTCCTTCATTTGATGCTGGTTGCCTTGTTAATTCCGTTGTATGATCCATGTAGCTTCCTTGCACTCGTTGTTTGCATACATGATGATGGTCGCCAGCGTAGACCCCAGCACAACACATACTGCACGACATATGGTGTGTAGATGTCGTGCAGTATATGTTTGCACGCTATGTGGTGCAATCTATGTGGTGCAACCTATGTGGTAGAATCTCTGATGTGCAACCTACGTGGGGCAATCTACGCGGCGTAACCTATTTGGTGCTATATATGTGGTTCAATCTAGGTGGTGCAAATAGTTCCTGATCGCAGTGAATTGTCCACTCCACTGCTCGCGCAACCATCCCACCCACCCGCCCGCAACTTGGTTTGCAAAGCCCTTGCGGCGGCGATGCCGATGAGTGCTTGGAGTTGGCTGGTGCATCTCTGCGGCCGCGCTAGCCCGCGTATGCTCGCGCGCGCAGCGGCCAGCTAGTTTGGCGCGACCGACGCGGCCGCGGTGGCGCTGACCGCTGGGTACTTCCCAGCGGGAACTTCCGTGCGGGTCGGCGACTTGGGCGGGCGCGGTATCAAGGCAACGTCGACAACGGTAGACGGCATGATGATGGTAGCGATGATTTTGACGATGATGACAACGACGGCGGCAAGGCCAGGGACGTCGCCGATGCTGATCACGCTGGCGACGATGACGGCGTCCTCGCGTCGGTGATGAAGCTTTTGGAGGAAGTTCGACATCCGCGCGCGGCCCACGGCCCGCATGGTAATAATTGACACGGATCGTGCCCCCCCCCAGCACGCGCGCAAAGGCGGTCGAATGATTTCGACGTGCGGCGCGAGGGGCTTGTTTTGCCGAGTCTAGTCAACAGGTTGTAGTGAACTCGCAGGAGGTCGACCGCAGGCAGTTGTGAAAACAACTGTTGCAAAACAGTGTTCTTTCCACTTTATGTTTTCGGGACACTCGATTTTGACATCCGTACGGAACGTGAGGTTTTGAACGATCCCGGCATGCGCGCGAGACGACGCGCGTGCGTGTGTTTTCTTCCAAGTCTGTTGCAAGGGATTCTCGCGACAGCACGCACGCAAGGGCGTCCGAGCGATTCGGGCATGCCCGCGCGAGAGGCCCGCTGGGTAGCCGGTTATGAAGATGTTGAAGACAACAAACCTATGGTTTTTGGCTGAATCCGCAAGCCCGAGCGCAAGCTTTTGTTTGACAACTCTTGTTGCGAATCCGTGTGTGTGTGTGTGTGTGTGTGTGTGTGTGTGTGTGTGTGTGTGCGCGTCTTTTAGTGCCTTCGGGGCACTCGATATTGAAATCCGTACGGGTCCTGAGGTGTTTGAAGGATTTAGGCATGCGCGCGCGACGACGCGCGCGAATGTACTTCGTCCCGTTGTTTGTCCGGGATTTTTGAAACGGGGGGGGATACGGGCCTGCCTGGGATGGTACGAGTTTGAACTCAGGATGGACGGTAATCGTATATAAGTTACTATACGAAATTGGGGCCGTTAATTCCGTGGGGGGGTCGATCCGAACATGTTTCTAAGGAGCATATATGGTGCACTCTTCGGGCGGCGACGGAGCGGCGACGGGACGGCGACGGCGACCACGGAGCCGCCAGACCGCCTTGCAGGCGCACACGACGGGCGGCGACGGAGTTTCGACGGCGACCACGGAACTGCCAGACCGCCACGCAGGCGCACACGACGGGCGACGACGGGGCGGCAACGGTGACCACAAAGCCGCCAGGCAGCCACGCGGGCCCACTTCATTATGATAAACAATTAAACAGAGCCCCATGCGTGCATACATGTGTATGTAGATGTATGTATATATATATATGGTATGTATACGGGTGTGTATATGTATGCATGCATGAATACATAGCTACAGACAGGCACACATACCATACCATATCATACAATACCACATCATGTAATGTTGTACTATGCGTACGTACATACATACGTATACACTCACAAACACATATTTATACACGTATTTACGTATATAAATTTACATATATATATATATATTCATTTAATCGCTTCGCTCATTCCGCCGGCCCGTATTGTGCCATCGCAGGCGTTTGCTTGCGCGTTCGTGGCCTCTTGGAGCCTCGGTGGGGCCGTTTGGGGCCTCTTGGCGTCTCTTTTTAGGCTTTTTGGAGAACTCGGGAGGCCTCCAGGGGGCCTCCTGAGCTCTCGTGACGGTCTCTTGGGGGGCTTTCGGCGGGCTCTTGGCGGTATTTGTTGGTCCTCTTGGGGCCTGGGGCCTGACGTTGTTGGTCCTCTTGGGGCCTCACGGGAGCTTATTGGGGCGTCTTGGGGGTGTCTTGGAGAGTCTCTTGGGGCCTCTTTCGGGGTCCTGGGCGCCTTCTGGGGCGGAGGGCTCGATTTTTCAGTTCTCGGTTCCCTTCTTGAGCCCCTCTTGGGCCCGTCTTGGGGCCTCTTGGTCCGCCTTGGGCAGCACTTGGGCCGTCTGGGGGGCGCTCTTGGGCCGCTCCGGGGCCGTCTTGGGAGCCTCGTGGGCCGTCTTGGAGCAGTCTTGAAGGCCTCTTGGGCCCTCTTGGAGCGTCCGGAAGCGAAAAGGCCAGAACGCAAAAAAACATAGAAAAAAACCAATGACAATCAACGATTTTGGCAACTTGGGGCCCTCTTCGGAGGCCTCTTGGAAGGCCCTTGGAGCGTCTTGGAGGCCTCTTGGGCTGTCTTGGGGCCATCTGGGGCGTCTTCGGGCGATCTTTGGCCGTCTCGGGCCTCTCTTGGACCGTCTAGAAGGCTTCTCGGGGCCCTCTTGGACCGATCTGGAGCCCTCTTGGACTCCGAAACAGAACTCCGGCATCCCTGACCCGACTTTGCCGGGACCTTGCCGGGGTACTTTTCGTCCGGGGACCCCCAGGGGCCGCCCCGCGCGCGCGAACTAGAAATACTGTTAACCAGGTACTGGAGATCTTAGCACGCCCTGGCCCGTTGGGCCGGCGAACATATATATATATATATAAACATATGTATATATACATATGTATAAATATATAGACATATATTCATATATGTACTGGTCGGGATCTGTATATACATACGTACACAAACGTCCGTGCGTACATGCATGCACGCATACATACACACATACATAAATACATACATACACACATAGATGTCGGCCTGCCTACTTGCTTGCCTACCTACCTGTCTACCTACATATATACATACATAGGCCACGGCATGTGTGTTTCGGATGTCTACTACTAGCCGTGTGTGGTCCGGAATGGTATTACGTATGCAGTGTGTTGCAGTTTTGTTTTGTTATTTGGCATCGCGTTTATGTTAAGTATCTGTTCGGGAAAGTCCGTGGTATTGCCGTGCGCGCATGAAGGTTTGGGGAGGGCATCACCGTTCCTGGGTCGTGGGCAAGATGCCTTTCGGATGCATCCTGGGGAGCCTCTTGGGGGGGTTCTTGGAGACCTATATGGGGCGTCTTGCGGGTGTTTTTGAGGCGCCTCGGAAGACTCTGGGGGGGTTGTTCAGGGCCTTTTTGGCGTCTTGGGAGCCTTTTGGGGGCTTGCTGGCTGTCCCGGGGGCCCTCTTGGGGTGGAACGTTCGTGGCCCTATGGCAGTTCAAACTCAGAGCCCCCTCTTGGGGGGCCCCCTTGGGGTACCTTGATCCTCTTTTGGGGGCCTGCTCGGCCCTCTTGTGTCTTTTGGCGACCTCTCGGGGCATCTTGGACGCTCTTGAGACTGAGAAGGCGGGAACTGGCCTCCTGCACCCCCTCCCACTGACAGGCCTCCAAGACGCCAACCACGCTCCCATGGCTCTCCACGAAGTCTCCCAGGCGGCCCAGATCGCCCCAGACGCTCCAAAAGGGTTCCCAAACGGCGCCACAAAGACACTTGGACGCGCAGGTCATGTGTTTTCCATTGGTTTTTGACGTTCTTCCCCAACCATTCTGTGGTGTGGGGTCTTCGTTTTGAAGAGACGGTGCCCCGCGTTCTCCTCTTTTCCTCCTCGCCCTCCTCCCCCCCCCTCCTCCCTCCTCCGTGCGTTTCACCCACCCAGTACGTTTCGTGGCCCCATGGGGAGCTCAACCGGAGCACCCAGTGGGGCCGCCAGCATGCGTCCCACACACCCAATCAATTTCGCATTTTCACCGACCCAGTACAGCGTTTCGTGGCCCCATAGGGAGCTCCACCGAAGCCCCAGTGGGACCGCCCGCATGCGTCCCCCCCCTCCCCCCCCAAACACACACGCGCACACACACACACACACACGCACGCACGCACGCACACACACAGACACACACACACACCATACACAACACACACACAACACACACACACGACACACACACACAACACACAACACACAATACACACACATCACACACAACACACACAACACACAACACACACAACACACACAACACACACACACAACACGCACACACACACACGCACACACACACACAGCGGTCCGTGGCCCCATAGGGAGCTCCACCGAAGCCCCCAGAGGGACCGCCCGCATGCGTCCCAGACCTTTACCTAAGCATTTTCACCCACCCAGTACAGCGTTTCGTGGCCCCATAGGGAGCTCCATCGAAGCCCCCAGTGGGACCGCCTGCATGCGTCCCACACACACAATTACAGTCAATTTTGCATTTTCACCGACCCAGTACAGCGTTTCGTGGCCCCATAGGGAGCTCCAGCGAAGACCCCCAGTAGGACCGCCCGCACGCGTCCCCCCCCCCCCCCGCCCCCTCCGCCCCCCCGCCACACACAACAACAACACACGCACACGCACACGCACACGCACACGCACACGCACACGCACACGCACACGCACACGCACACGCACACGCACACGCACACGCACACTCACACTCACACGCACACGCACACGCACACGCACACGCACACGCACACGCACACGCACACGCACACGCACACGCACACTCACACGCACACGCACACGCACACGCACACGCACACGCACACGCACACGCACACGCACACGCACACGCACACGCACACGCACAAGCACACTCACACGCACACGCACACGCACACGC